TAATTAAAATCTAGTATTTTCTAAAAATATTAAATTCCCAAAATCTGGTCAAAGTTGAAGAGTCAACATTTTAGTGAACCTTAGGTCAAAATGGGTCAAAACTTCTAAAAATCACAACTTTTGATAGAAAACTTCAAATTGAGTGTACCACATGTCTAACAACTCATATTTAGGTCTAGTACTTATTAAAAATCTGAAACCCTTAAGATTAACTCTAATTCTAAAAAATCAAATTTTGACCCCTTTAGTTAGCATATCCGGATAACTCTCAAAATCTGCTAATTTTTTAAATTCCAGAATTTTCTTAATAGGATAATAAAATCATTAACAAATCCTTTAAAATCAGTAACCAACTCCCCTTAATATTAATCAACTTCTTTTATTGCAACTAACTTAAAGTATCTTGATTAACCCCGATTGCTACTGGGTAACCCAGGCCTACGAGGCTATTAACTTAGCCCCAAGGAAGGTGAAATAAACTTCACGGCCTCAGTGTAAAATAAAGGTAGTAATCAATTAAATCTTAAAATATATTTAATTAAAATTCTTTATCTATTAATACTTAAACTTTAATTTAAATCCCCTTTTAAGCCTTAACAAATTCAAAACTTTTTCTAGATAACTTTAATTAATCACCCAGCTTATGATCTACCCCTACCACAAGACCTTCTACACACACTTTAGATGATGTGTTAGGATAACCAACTCTAGATCTAGGTTAGACCAGTGTTTACTTTACTGCTGTGTGCCGGATTTTTCATTATTTTCACTCCATGTTGTGGATAAAATTGCTTTGCTGTGTCTGCTTACTTTTTCTGCACTCTGTGGATGGATTTATGTGTTTGGCGACTAGATTACCCTTAGGTTAGGTACGATCTGAATGTTCACACAGTTTTTTGCAGGTGGCCACTCTCATGCAGGGCAATAAAAAGGGGTCTAAATCAATAAAAAAATATAATTATTATAAATGCTTACACATGTGCTTCAGCTGCTAAAGCTCCCAAATAAAAAGAGCGTGGCCAGTGTGTTTACTTACTTTTCTGTACATATATAACTGCTTGGGAATAATTGCTTCTTATTTATTCACTGCTTAGGATAACCCTACAGGTGAGTCTAGATTTTATTTTCATATAAATGTAATTTGTGTAATTGTTAAGTGTTATGAAAGTCAATTTTGAGTTGGGATATATAGGTCCAAAGCTTGGACTCCGAAGAGAAAATGATGCCCTTTAGGGGAGTATTCCTTTTCTATTTGGAAATCCAAATTTGGACCACATTTCTTCCCTACCCAAGGAGGAAAGAGTGGCCTTCCCCTTAAAGGAAGTGCCCTCTTATCCATTTGGGTAGCATACTACGAAGAATCCAAGGAGCTTAAAGAAAAGGAGCCCAAAGGAGAACAAGATTGAAGACTTGAAGAGTGAGAGTATCCCACTCAAAATAACTTGCGTCATTACTAGGTTTAGAATCCAGGTTGTTGTCAGTGGTGCCCGGCCACTTTACTTTCTGCAAGACCCTGGTTTGTAATAAGCAAGGCAACTTTACCTATGGATATTTATCGATTAATTAGTTTATGTTTGATGTGATGAATTGATTGCCTTTAGAATTACTTACTTTTCTTAGTTTTTTTGGCGATTGTGTGCCGCTTTTGTTTTCACCTGGATACGTGAGGCTCGTGAGGGTGTGAAAGTTTTATACTCATAATCTTAAAGTCTAAAATTTTAGTGAGTCTAAATAACATAGAAAGATAATGAATCTAGGGAATTAGCCGGGGATCGACCCTGGGGTCGCATGCATATTTCTGCATTACTCTCTCCTTGTTTTAGACCCTTTCCTGCCTGCGGGTAGAGTCCGGATAGTCTGACCTATGAGGACGAGGTGCCGGACCTGGGGAAGTCCAGTCTTCTAAAAAATTATTTTCTAAGCCTATTTTTAAAAAATTTCAAGCATACTTGATTTGAAGTTGTTAACCAGCACGCATTGCATTAGAAACATACTTAAAGAGTCAAAATTTTAATTGCATTAGTCCTTAGCATTTTTGCACCCAACATAAGTCAAAGGGGCCAATTAGGAAAATCTCTAGATGTCGGCCCCAACTCTCCAAAACTTTAAATACAACGTCCCCACCACTCTTACATAAAAGACCGGATTCATCTCTTTAAAATTGACTAGGTGATTAGCCGGCTCCCCAATCCAGGCCGGGGTATGCACTGCATTAGTTAGGTTCGGACGACTATGGTCCAGTGTCCAAATTAGATCTAGGATCTGGGGCATATTTTTGATTATAAGACCCCAAAATTCTAGGAATATAATCCCAAATTTCTAATTAAATGCTCAACTCTAATTAAAAATCTCATTTCAATCCTAAAACATAAAGCCCAACACTTAGATTAAGTTGGGGCACTTTCGGATGGTTCTAGAATCTCAAAGTGTCCCCTACCCCTCTTCCTTTAACTCTGTTAATAACTATTCAATCTTGATTCATTCCCTTTTGATTTTCCAAAATTCATTCATTTTTTTGATATCACTCCTACAAGATCTAACAAAATTCTGTCACTATTTTAATCGAGAGTTTTTGTAGGAAACTTTGTCTCCCTACGATATAATTAACTACGAGGACTTGCGCTCGTAGGAGATTTAGAACCACACACGCACCTGATTTTAAAATTAACTTTTCTAAAATCTTATTAGATTTCTTTGAGAAAAAGTCAAAGAATGATTGTCATTGTTACATTAGAAGAATTATCATTGAATGGTGTCATCTCCCTTTTAGGGAGATACATCCTTCTTCGATAAGGCTTTGGATGTGAACTCAACAATCATGCTTCTTGAATATTATAATTGGATATTTAGTTGAACTTCATTCTATCTCCTTGGGGCCATACGAAGTTCTCTTTAGAATTCGGTCATGATATTCAAGATGAGTTTCATGATTCTAACTCTGAACACCGTTATGAAATTTTATTTTCATCCTTCAGGGTGATATACTTTTTTTATCGAGTTGATTCAACTTTAGAATTAAAATTCAAACTTTAAATTTAAAATTCCCAAAGAAAACTAATATTTTTCAAAACCTGTTTTCAAAATTCCACCAACATGTGTTTTAATTGAAATTTAATTGAAACATGTCATCAAAATAACCCCAAGTTTTAACAGCAATATGGCCATATACAAAAAAAATTGAATTTAAATTTTATTATGTTCATACTAAATGAACCAAATCACAATGTACAATGTTTAAAATATTGTACTATGATTAATCAATTTAATATTTTTAATAATATTATTTTATTATATTATAAGAACAGGTTCATATAGGATAATCAATAGAGATAATTTTGGTCATTCCTGGGTTCATCCTATATGAAAAATAATTTGATTGAACTAATCATACTATACCATTATTCATTTATGTAGTATGATCTGAACTAATCATACTATACTAATAGGCCAAATTTAAGGGATCCTATTGTATGATCATGCAATCGTACTGTACAAATAATGATGATTGAATTGAATTTTTAAGGTTTTTTTTTTAGGTTTCTTGTTTAAGCTTTCTTATTAGTTATTGTAAGTATCTTTTGGAAATCATTTGGTTGTGTTTTCTTTAAAAAAAAGTGTTGAAGAGAGAGACTAGTGCTTGGGAGAGAGGGTGAAGTTTATGAGAGAGGGAGAAGAGTTTTATGGGATTCAAGCTACAGTGAGAGGTTGGGAGAGAAAGGGTAAAGACTGGAGCAACCATTGGTGATAAAGGACATGGATACTCCACCACACTATTTGTGAAAGGAATTTAGGAACTTCGCCTCTCTAGGAGTGTGAAAGGGATTCAGGCACTCCACCTCACCATTAGGATGAAAGAGATTCAAGCTACTCTATTGCACTGAGGACATGAAGGAAATTAGGCTACTCTGTTGCACAGAGGTGGTGAAAAGGATTCATCTACTATGCCACACCGAGGAGGTGTAATAGATTTGTAAGAGCTTCTTCACCTTGCCATGGGGGACAAACAAAAGTAACTAATTTTTAGTGCAATTATCATAGTGGATGACTCTAGGGAATGGACGTAAGTGAAAGTTGACCTAACCACTATAAATCTCCTGTGTATTTATTCTTTTGTTTTACATTGGTTGAAAAAGGGGTGCAACACGAGGACTTCCCAGGAGGTCACCCATCCCAGTGATTTTTGGGCCTCTTCATTCCGGCGGGCCGAACATGATTGAAAATGCATTTTTTGACTGCGCGAGCCAGGACGATGGGCCTTAGGTGCATCGGTGCCCCGTCCGGCTAGGAAAGAGCTTTCCAAAATGGAGTCATAGTGCTGAATTGCAGTCCGGGGAGAAAAGTTATTGCCATTCCCGCGCGGTTGGCTCCTAGGATTCGCCCGTCTCCTTCACGGGTCCCACTATGCCGATTTCTTCGCTCAATACGAAATGAGCCAACATTGCCAGTGCTTCTTAGGCTCTGACGAAGAGCTGCAAAAAAAAAGAGTAAGTTGGTTGAAAAAGGGGTGCAACACGAGGACTTCCTAGGAGGTCACCCATCCCAGTACAACTCTCGCCCGAGCATGCCTAACTGCAGGAGTTCTGATGGGATCCGATGCACTGGTGCTGGTATGGTCGCACATGTTATATTACGTTTTCAAATAATACTTAAGTAGCCTCCAAAGAATTGGTGAGTTTTGGGCTTCTTCATTCCAGCGGGTCGAAGATGATCAAAAATGCATTTTTTGACTGCGTGAGCCCGGCCGATGGGCCTTAGGGGCATCGGCGGCTCGTCCGGCTAGTAATGAGCTTTCCAGAATGGGGTCATAGTGCCAAATCGGAGTCTTGGGCAAAAAGTTATTACCATTCCTGTACGGTCGAGTCCTAGGACCCGCCCGTCGCCTTCACGGGTCCCATTATATGGATTTCTTTGCCCGATATGAGATGAGCCAACACTGCCAGTGGTTCGTAGGCTGTGGCAATGAGTTGCAAAAAAAAAAAGAGAGTAGGTTGGTTGAAAAAGTGGTGCAACACAAGGAATTCTCAGGAGGCCACCCATCCCAGTACTACTCTTGCCCGAGCACGCTTAACTGCAGAGTTCTGATGGGATACGGTGCACTGGTGCTGGTATGGTCGCACATGTAATTTTATGTTATCAAATAATACTTAAGTAGACTCCGATTAAATGGTGATTTTGGGGCCTCTTCATTCCGGCGGGCCGAAACTGATCGAAAATGCATTTTTTTGACCGCGCGAGCCCAGCTGATGGGCCTAAGGTGCATCGGCACCCCGTCCGGCTAGGAAAGAGCTTTTTGGAATGGGGTTATAGTGCCGAATCGAAGTCCTGGGCGAAACGTTATTGTCATTCCAGCATAGTCTGGTCCTAGGACCCGCCCGTCGCCTTCACGGGTCCCACTATGTAGATTTCTTTGCTCGATACGAGACGAGCCAACACTGCCAGTGGTTCGTAGGCTATGGTGAAGAGCTGCAAAAAAAAAAAAAGAGAGTAGGTTGGTTGAAAAAGGGGTGTAACACGAGGACTTCCCAAGAGGCCACCCACCCCAGTACTACTCTCGCCCGAGCACGCTTAACTGCGGAGTTCTGATAGGATCCGGTGCCATGGTGCTGTTATGGTCGCACATATAATTTTATATTTTCACATAATTGTTAAGATAGTTGCTATTTGCATGTTTTGCATTCTTGCAACTTGTATAGTTTTGATGATTCCGAATATTTTTATTTTATGTATTGATATCTCCTAACACTTTTTGGAAGATTTGTTTTTTCTCTTGTGTGGACTAACATTTCTGGAAAATCAAACTCCATACTACTGAAGACTTCAAATCAAATTCAGCATGAGAGATTTTATAAATTGAAGCTTGTACTTTTCTTTGAAATATGTTTGAGTGAGAGTGATTGTAATTGAGTGAATAAACACTCACACACTTAAGGAGATTTTTAAAAAATTTTACTGATCGTACGGGACGAACATAGTTCGTACGGGACGATCAAGTCAATTATCTACTCTTAAGAGCAATGGAACGAATAGGAGCCGAAGAAAATTTTTTTAATTCCTGATCGACCAGGACAATGTTTAATCATCCCAGGACGAAATGTTCTCGGGAAAATTTTCGTTCAGACGAGATTCATATTCATGCTAGGACGAAATGCTATTTGGAAAATTTTCATCCAGACAAACTCAAATTCATCCCAGGAAGAAATGCCCTTTCGTTTAGACGAAATTCATATTCGTGCCAAGATTAAATGCTCTCTAGAAAGTTTTCATCCAGCCGAACGAAAATTCTCCCCAGAACGAAATGTTCTTTGTAAAAATTTCTTCCGGACGAACTCATATTCGTCCCAGGACGAAGTGAACTGACTCTTCAAATTTTGGCAACGTCCTGCAGTTTTTTGGGAACCGACCTATGGTATAACTGTTTGTACCGGACGAACCTATTTCGTACGGGACGATGATCAGGTATGATTTAAGTTCGTACCAATATATATTTGATTCATTTCCACACATTTAAGTAAAATCGTCCAGGATGATCCACGATCATACGGGACGATCAACTTCGTGTTGACTTGAATATTGTAGTGGACGATTTTTCTTGTCTTTCTTATAAATAGATTAATTTAGACTGTCGCTTAATCTTTTTGCCAACTGATCTTCATGCCAATTGAAAGGAGAGTCAAGCATAGAGTGTGAGAGAGGGTTTGAAGGAGATTTCTTGCTATTGGAGCGTGTAGGTTTCACTTGGTACTCAAAGGTAAGAGTCTCTACTCTTCATTTGTGATTACTTCACTCTTTTTCTTTGTTTCTTCTAGATTTCTTGTGAAGAAGATCTGTCAAGGAGATTCGGTTCTCTTCCAACACTTGGAGAGTGAACAGACGAAGGGTACTTTACCCACACTAGGAGAGTGTGAACAACCGAAGGGTTCTCTGCCCATACTAGGAGAGTGTGAACAGCTGATGGGTTGTCTGCCCACACTAGGAGAGTGTGAACAGCCTAAGGGTTATCTGCCCGCACTAGGAGAGTGTGAAAGGATGAAGGGTTCTCTGCCTACACCGGGAGAGTGTGAAAGGATGGACAATTCTCTGCCAATATTGGGAAGAGTGTAAAAGGATGGCGGTTCTCTGCCGCACTAGATAGTGGTGGAAGAGAGTTTTGTAAAGGCTTCTCCGTCTTGCTGTGGGTACAAAGGAGAGTCACTAGTGGTTTATTGCAATACTCGGAGGGTGCCTCCGGGGAGTGGATGTAGGTTTGGTTTTGACTGAACCACTATAAATTTCTCACCTTTTATTTTTTTGTTGTTTTTATTTTTATCGTTTATAACTTGTGGTTGAAAAACATTTTTCTAGAAAAAATCACTAAAGTTAAATTCTCGATTTTAAATTTGAAAAAGAGGGTAAACTTTTTTAAATACCATATCACCCCTCCCTCTTTTGGTTAGCTGCTGGGACATAAGCTTAGGTTTAACAACCTAATTCATTATGAATAAGTTTCAACAAGTGGTATTAGAGCTTTATTTTAAAATCATAAGTTTAGACTACTTTTTGATTAATGTAGATGGCTACATTTGGAAACCAAAATACACCTAAGGGTTACTCTATAACTAGACCTCCACTGTTGGACAATATATCTTTTAATTTTTGAAAACACGCATGTTTAAATTTTTACAGTTACTTGATTGTCGTATGTGGATCATAGTTCATGAAGGGTATACAAAACCAACTAGACTAGTTGACGGAGTTAGAGTTGAAACACCTTTTGTGAACTGGATAGTAGAAGAACGTGACTTAGCACAATTAAATGCCAAATGCTTGAATAGTTTCTTTTGTGCTCTTAAATCAGAAGATTACATGTGGGTTTCTACTTGCAAAAGTGAAAAGGACATATGGGATAGACTTTGTATAACTTATGAGGGGACTAACGAGGTTAAGCAATCTAGACTTAATATCATGTTGCATGATTATGAACTGTTTCGCATGAAACCTAATGAATCCATTTCTAATATATACACAAGATTCACACAAATAGTCATCTCTTTACATGCATTGGGTAGGGAACTAACAAATGCTAAAATGGTTAATAAGATTCTTCGTTGTTTGCCTACTGCTTATGATGCTAAAATTACTACAATTTCAGAGTCTAAAGATCTAAACATTTACTATATTGACAATCTTCTTGGTTTGCTTATTGCTTATGAGCAAGGAGTTAGCCAAAGAAATATTGATACAGGTGAACCACGAAGGAAGAAGAACATATCACTGAAAGTGGAGGAGTCTGATAGTGAACACTCACAACCTGAGGATGAAGACGACATTGCATTGATGACTAGATAATTCAGAAGCTTTCTAAAGAGGAAGTAATACAGACGCCAGCAATGGAATAAAGGTAAATTTAATAGAAATACAAATATTTCAAATGATGTAATTTGCTATGAGTGCAATAAACCTGGACATATTAAGACAGAATGCCCAAAACTCAAAAAAACTCCTAACAAGGAGAAGGTAGAGGAGAAACCAACTATAAAGAAGGGTAAGAAGAAGTTTCAAAGAGCTTTCTGGGCGGACTCAGCTTCAGATTCATCAGAGACTGAAAAGGAAGAGGAAGTCACTAATTTATGCTTAATGGTCAATATTCTTGATAAGTCAGATCAAGAAGTGCTATGCGACATAACATATGATGAATCGTTTGAAGTTTCTGAACACATGCATAATGCATAGAGGAAAATGATGAAAATGCATGCTATTCTAAGTTTAGAATTTGAAGAACTACAAAAGGAACATGAAATCCTTAGGAAAGCTCATGATTTAATTGATGACAACCACATGAAATTACTTGATGAATTTGATGACTTGAATAAGAATCTTGAAAGTTTAAAATCATCCTATGCATAACTTGAAAAAGAATTTAATAAATTTAAGAATGAATCGGAGATAAAACTTTATAGATCTAATTATATAAATTGAATTTTGAAAGATATGAATTCATTTTATATTATGAAGATAAAAGCTCTCGAGGATAATAAGATACCCCGGAAACTTGAAGATTTCACTAATCCTATTTTGTATCCAAATTTTATGCAATCCCTAAATAGAAAAATGAATGGTAGAAGACTTAGGAATCCCTTTCCAAAAGTCAAATGTAATAATTATGGATTGATTGGACATATAGCTCACACATGTACTGTGAAGAATAAAAATTATATGGCGTAGAAACTTAAGACCCATAACCCTAGACATATCATACATGCATCTATTTATAAATTGTCAAAAGTTGAACCCAAACTTATTTGGGTTTCCAGGTCTAACGTTTGATATTTTTGCAGGATTCCTCTCACACAAGACCTCGTGAGAGCATATGGTACCTGGACAGCGGATGCTCAAAGCATATGACTGGAGATAATGCATAATTCATATTGCTGGAAGCCAGGAGTGGAGGAAAGGTTACACTTGGAGATAACACCACAAGGAAGGTGGTTGGGATAGGTATGATTGGAAATCTTAAGAAATTTTACATTGAAAAAGTGTTATTGTTAGAAGGGTTAAAGCATAACCTGTTAAGTATAAGCCAACTATGTGATAAAGGATATTGTGTGAAATTTTTTCCTATTAGCTACATATTAAGCCTAAATGGTAAAAATATTTTGAATGGTAAAAGGGTTAATAATGTTTATATGCTAGACTTGTATTGCATTCAAACTCCTACTGCTTTTTATTTAAAAACTGTATCTGATGAACAATGGCTTTGGCATAGGAGACTTTGTCATTCTAGCATGATAAACCTTATGAGGATTATCCTAAAGAACTTAGTGAGAGGTATACCAAAACTAGACTTTACTAAGGATCACCTTTGTGATTCATGTCAATTAGGAAAATAAGTGAAGTCCTCTTTTCAGTCCAATAAGGATCTTAGAACTAGTAAATTATTGGAGATTTTGCATATGGCTCTTTTTGGACCAGTTGGAACTATAAGTGTAGGAGGGAAGGTATACGGCTTTATGATTATGGATGATTACTCTATATTCACATGGGTTAGATTTCATTTTCATAAGAATGAATCATTTGAGAAATTTATAAATTTTTCGACTTGGATTTAAAGAAAACTTGGGTGTGAAATCATGACTATACAAATTGATCATTGAGGAGAATTTGAAAATTAAAGATTTGAGGATTTTTGTAAGGAGAAAGGAATTGATCATAATTTTTTTGCACCTAGGACCCCTCAGTAAAATGGGATAGTCGAAAGAAAAAATAGAACATTAATAGAAGCAGCCCGAGCAATTTTGGCAGAATACTCACTTCCTAAATATTTTCTGGCTGAGGCAGTTAGCGGTGCATGTTATGTTATGAATAGGGTGAATGTGAGATCTAATTTAAATAAAACACCCTATGAGTTGCTAAAAGAAAGAACACCTAATTTGTCTTATTTACATGTTTTTGGTTGCAAGGTGTTTATACATAATAATGGAAAATCTTCCTTAGGAAAATTTGATTCAAAATCAGATGAAAGAATTTTTTTTTGATATTCAAGTGTTAGAAAATCTTATAGAGTATTAAATAGAAGAACTTTGAGAATTGAGGAGACCACACATGTTGTATTTGATGTATCTGGAAATTTCGAAGAGCCAAATG